TATCACTTTAAAAATTACTTCATACATACACATACATACATACATACATACATACATGCATACATATATATATGATATACAGTGGTACCTCAGGATACGAAATTAATCCGTTCCGACACTGAGATCGTATCATGAAAATGTCATAAGGTGAATCATTTTTCCCCATACGATTACATGTAAAACCAAATAATTCATTCTAACACGAAAAAAACACTCAAATTAAAGCTAAGTAATACATTAAAAAAAAAAAAAAAAACTATAGTAAGGAAAACACTGAAAAATGCGTTTTGTAGTTGTAAATGTATAAATAATTGTAATAGAATAATAATTGATTTTAAAAAAAATGTAGTTTTATTTGCACTTTACCTTTGAGGATAGACTACGGTGGAGGTGTAAATTGGTGGCGGAAGAGAGGGAGAAGGGAAATGATAGTAAAATTTAACTTACATAACATAATGTAACAATAACTTAAAAGTAACTTAGAAAAGATTTTAAAAAATTAGTGTTGTTTCATTATTTATTTTTTTTAATTTTTATCCACTGCTTGTTGCTTTCTTTCCTTCACTTCTATTAGCACTTTTACTGGATAGAGGTCACTTGGTAAAATGTCTATCCAAAGAGGTTTGGCTTTGCCTACTTTTTAAAATGTTTCTAAAATGACTTAGGCAAATGTCATTACTCCGAGCAGCAATACGGCAATTGTGAACCTTTTCGCGGTGTTTCTTTTCAATAAAATCAGTCACTTTCTGATAATACCTCAAGATTTCCTTTATCGAGCGAGATCCTTCCATGACGAAGTAAACACACAGACTGAGAGCAACGAACAGAAGTGAATAAAAAATGGCGCTGCAAACTAATGTAACATCGTATGGTGAGTTTTTGTTCGTATCGTGGAACAAAAATATGTTCGAATTTCATGTCGTATCCTGAAAATTTCGTATGCTGGGGTGTTCGTATCCTGAGGTACCATTGTATATGTATGTATGAAGTAATTTTTAAAGAAGAAAAGATATTTTAAATTATATATAGACTGTCTAGTATATATAGGATTTTTAACAGCTATATGGCTTAAAGTTCTTCAAATACTTGATATTGAGATAAATAAATATAAAAAAAAACATTATAATGTAACATTTAAAGCTATTAATATATTTTAACATGACAAAATAGTTTATATATATTACAAACGCTTTATTGTAATAAGATAATCTTGTATATAATATGAATTATATAAAAGACATTATTTACTTATTTAAGCTTTTTCTAAATATTTGGTTACATTAAATTGGAAATACATAGCATATTTATCATTCAGTCTACAAAATCATTTTTCAATCTTTTTAAATTATATCAGTAGTTTTTGATAATTTTTCAAACTGATGTAATGCTTTGGTTTTTTCTTTTTTTAAATTTATGCAGTCTAGATCATACCATGGGTTTTTTTGGCCTTGAAAGTTTGAGTTTCTAATCTTTCGTGTTTTAATAAATTCCTTTATTATACCTTCAAACTTAGTATATTTTACAATATCCTCTGTAAAATCCTTAGCCAAGTTAATTAATAGATGCACAATCATATAATTATTTCTTTTCTGAGTGAATATAAATTCTCCCAATTTCTTTTATAATAAATAAATTTAGTCCACCACAAGGACGACCCAGTCCTGATGGTTTTTGAGCCAATTGTGTAATGATATAATAATTTTCATAGTATTTCGTTTGTGAATCAGAAAATGAGGTCATCCATGTTTCTGTAATGGCAAGTATATCTGAATTTTCCAATAAAAAAGTAAATTCGCTGGTAAGAATTTTCTGTACAAGACCTTAACAGTTCCAATTAATAATTACAAAGTGGGACTCTTTTTGATTGTAGACTTTATAATGTAAATTTTCAGTTTTATTACGCACATCAGACAAGGGTTTCAGCGGTTGTGATACCACATCATATGGATCTTGAAAAGAATAATGTTGTTTGGCCATAATTCATTGTGATTTAGTCTTAGATACAACAAAAGGAGTAAAGGAATCAATAAATACCAGCCCCTCTGAAATATAACTATATGTCAAAGAATGTTGACCCAGTAATATGCTATCACCACGAAGTTTAGGATCTTGACCTTCTTTCCTTAATTCATATAAAAAAGGAAGTAGTTGTTTGCGACGTAATCTGGATCTCTTTGTAAGGTCCTGTGAAATTTGAGTATGTTTCCATTCATCTTGTTAGGTGTATTAAATACTCGGTTCAGATGTCACGCCAACAGTTAACTTAATCAAAAACTTCGTTAAGAAACTTTTAACTTATTTAATGCCTCATAGTCTGAAGTTTCTTAACAAAGTTTTTGATTAAGTTTCCATTCATTCGATAAATTTTGTTGTTTCATTTTAATAAAATTTGAATATACGTAATCTCGTATCTTAGTATTTTTAAAGATTATTTTAATAGTTGGATATTCTGATTTAGTCAGTTATAAAATCATCCATTGTAACTTCTTGTAGTTTTAATGTTAAATTAACCAAATTGTAAATTTCTGATTTAGTAGGACTTGTTTTACTGGGGTGTCTGTATAATAATATATTATTACGATGTTGTTCATTTACCAAATGATCCATTCGATATTGCATATTTTCATTTTCCATCTTCAGATTAACGATTTGTTGTTCAAGGTTATTAATTTGACAGTTCATTTTTTTGTTTTGTTCTTTGATTTCTTGGACACTATTATGGATCAGGTCCAGTTCTTCTTTGATAAATGTCATTTGATTAAATATTTTTGTATTAGATATGTTAATTAATTCAGAAATTTTATTCCATAATGCTGTAGTTGATATATCTGAAGAACTTTTCAGATTATCTGCTGGAGAACATAAAGATTCAATTGTCTCACCTGAAAGTTGTAAACTTTGAAGTGTTGTTCAGTCCAGCCTCGGCAGAAGATGATTCAGGGAAAGTCTTTTTGGCACATGTACTGTATTCTAACATTAGATGACGATGTGACATTAGATGTCCTTTCTACTATCTGATTTGGTCCGATGACTTTGGTGGTCTTCCTTTTTTTTTTCTTTTTTTTTTTTTTTGAGAACATTGCATCTTAATTATTGTTGTTAAAAATAGTTTAAACTTATTAGAAGAGTTAACTCTAACAAACAACACAAGCAAGTAGACTGATAAACAATTTTAGTTATCAATATTCAGTGTTTCCAATAAAATGAAGTACGTAGAAAATCACACCAGTAGCTCTGACCAACAGGTGCTCCCCCCAAAATAGTTTATAATTGGTCAGTTTCATAACACAATTTCTCTTTATTTTTATTTTAACAAATTTATCATGGTATATCGAGTAACCATGACAAGAAACTTACCTAACTCTAACAACAATTATTTAATAATGAAATATTTCATAGGAGATCCACAGAGAGCAAAAGCATATGAACTATACCAAGTAACAACTGACAATGAATGATCACAATTGCTATTCCACATAGTCACAAAATTTTTTTCAATTTATTATGGTTTCTTTTAAAAACATAATTTGATTTATGTCAATAAGAATGCTACATCTTTAAATATGACTTATAGCATGTACAATACATAATTTAAATTTTATTACTTTATAACATTGTAAGTATGAGAATTTGTGCACATATTTTTCCATGTTGGCATTTTTTGGTGTATGCATTTTTCTTGTGCACATATATGACAGTGGGGGTTTTCTTTGTTCAATTTTCATGTGTGCTTTTTTTTTCTAGTTAGGAAATGTTATAACAGGTAAACTTTTATAATCATCATAAAATTAATTTTTTTGATTTATCATTTATATTACTAATATAAATACTATTGTTATAAAGCCACACCAACTGCTGTATAATAAGTGTGGCTTTATAGTAATGAATCAGATTTCAGAAGATGTTTATATTTATACTGTTGTTAATTATAGCTTTTAATTATATTGATAATTTAATATATATTTACTTTTAGTATTTATGATTTATTATATGTAAATTTTTGATAATTATTTATTAAATTATAAATATTATAATAATAATAATTAAATTTTATAGAATATAGATTGNATTTTAAAACTTTTTATATCACTTTAGCATTAGAAAAATATTTAAAACAATGTATAATTTAGACTATTTGATCTAATTAAGTTATTAAAACTGTTGAAAGATTAACTGTTTTACAGAATATATAATGTGTGTTTTACAAATCCACTGAAGTGAAAATTTTCTGATATTAATACAGTAGTACCTCTTTAATCCACACTTCTTTATCCAATGACTTCCATAATCCACAGACTGGAATTTTCAACAGTTGCCAACTCTGCCTCATATCAGCAATATAAAAACATCAAAATACTAAAATCATGATTTAATAATAATATTAAAAAATGATTGTGATACACATGAAAGATATTTTAATTACTATTATTGTACTTATTCAGGTTACTGAAGCCATTATGTTTTATTAATATATAATATTGATGGACTATATAATCAATAAAATCACATGCATTTCTTAACATGTTAATAATATAAAATGTTTTAGTTATTTGTCGAAACCGTGTCTTCTTTTTCTTGTTTCTTCTAATTCTATGTCACGACTTGGTGCATTTATCGACACTTGGCAAATAATTCCATCATCTACTTTTAATTCATACAGAAACGCGTAATTAAAAGTAGATGATGGAATTATTTGCCAAGTGTCGATAAATGCACCAAGTCGTGACATAGAATTAGAAGAAACAAGAAAAAGAAGACACGGTTTCGACAAATAACTAAAACATTTTATATTATTAACATGTTAAGAAATGCATGTGATTTTATTGATTATATAGTCCATCAATATTATATATTAATAAAACATAATGGCTTCAGTAACCTGAATAAGTACAATAATAGTAATTAAAATATCTTTCATGTGTATCACAATCATTTTTTAATATTATTATTAAATCATGATTTTAGTATTTTGATGTTTTTATATTGCTGATATGAGGCAGAGTTGGCAACTGTTGAAAATTCCAGTCTGTGGATTATGGAAGTCATTGGATAAAGAAGTGTGGATTAAAGAGGTACTACTGTATTAATATCAGAAAATTTTCACTTCAGTGGATTTGTAAAACACACATTATATATTCTGTAAAACAGTTAATCTTTCAACAGTTTTAATAACTTAATTAGATCAAATAGTCTAAATTATACATTGTTTTAAATATTTTTCTAATGCTAAAGTGATATAAAAAGTTTTAAAATATATTTATCATTTAGTAATGTTTTTCATTGAAAAAGTACATATAATTATATAAGATAAATTCAGAAAATCACTTAGATGATTAAATAATGCAAAAATCTCTCATAAAGTTCCCTTATAGTATATATAATCCTTGTTCTCAAGGTAAAAAATTTATCTTTTGCTTTTTGAATATAAGATAAATTTTTTATTCAATTTAATTTTTATTTAAAGTTTTCTAATAAATTTTAATTGATAAGGGTTAATAATATAGAGGATTTTGAAATCAATTAAAAAATATGAATATTATTCTATTGCTTGATCAAATAATAATTTATAAAAGTCATTCTTAGATATTTGTTATTTCTAGTGTTGATATCAGTTTATACTGAAATTTTTCTAAAGATTGGAAAATTGATCTGAAAGTATTAATAGTAGAAAATTCTGTAACTTATAATAGTTAATACCTTATTTATATTTTAAAAAATTTATTTGATTTGTAACGGTATTCTTACTATTTGAATAAAATGTGTTGATTCCTAGTAAAGTAAGAAATACAAACTGTTAAACAATGTAAGAAATGAACAAGGAAGCAATTAGACTGGATAAAATTTAAAACAAAAAATGTTTAAATTAGTGTTTCTCAAACGGGATCCCGGTTGTTTTTCTAACCCGGGAAATATCCCGGGAAATCCCACAAATTTCTTAAAAATTCACTTTTTTTCTTATTTTGTGTTAAAGTTAAGAAATTTTGCAAATAAAAAGCATAAATATCTCATTCACTGTCAGAGTACATTTGTATTTATTAATTTTAAACCTACCTATTAGTTTTTTTAAATTTTTGCTCGTTATAGCATGTCACAAATGGTCAATAATCAATATATAGCTTATTTGTGGCATGACTATAAAAATTCTTTACTTGTCGGAACCTGTAATATCTGGAATAATTGTGCTTACGCTGTCTTGAGTTTTAACCATGCCCAGTAGCTTCAATAAATGCCTGACGCCAGATTGTGCAAATTGGGCAAGGATACAAACGAGTACAAAGTCTGCAAGTATGAAGTTTTTCTTCATAAACCTGATTATTAAAGCCAAATGAATTGCCGAATTATCGAGCTCTAAGCTTGATGCCGCTATTAAAGCAGCCAAGGTAGACAAATCAAGAATACTAGAGAGCGAAAGAAGTACTACAATCTCGAAAACGAACTCGAAATCTTCCAGGCTACAGGTGAAAAAACACATAATATCTGTCTTCTCTTAAATGCATTAAACACGATTCCAATCACATCAATTGAATCGGAAAGGGCATTCTCGGTAGCAAGACTTTTCATTACTAAAATAAGAATTAGAGTGAGTGATCGGAGTATTGATCATCTTTGCTTTTTAAAATCTTATAAAAGTTTACAATATTTTGTATTATATTTTTTTAAAAAAACGAAAATTACCTTCTAAGTTATAAGTTTGATCTAAGTTCAATTTTTAATTTTTAACTCAATTCAAAGCATTTTTGTTGTTATATGCAGTTTGTAGTAAACTTTAATAATTTTTTTTCTATTTGTGAAAATTTCTACGTAATTCAAAGGTAATTTTTATTATATATAAATTACATAGCATTATTAATATGATTTTGGATGATACAGAACTTTAAAATTACTTTAAAAAATGAAAAATAATTATATCACTTAATTTCAAGATATTTTGTATACCTTAAAAGTAATTGATTCTATCCCGGGAAACAGTTCATTTTTATCCCGGAATCCCGGGACAAGCAAAAGACCGGGAAATGAGAAACCCTAGTTTAAATACAACAAAAACTTTTAATGAATGAATGAATGAATGGTTGATGATTGTTTGTGGTCATCCTAAATGCCATCTTTGGTTCTACACTGAAAGTCTTTTGTAATCTAGAACCTGAAGATGGTATTTTTGGCTTGAATATGTGCATTCAGTGATTTCAGGAAAAATTGTAATGGCAGATGAAAGTCTACATTTAGCTTTTTCATCATAATGTTTTTTTAAAAAAAGAAGTTTTGTGTTTAAAGATGTTCTTGACTTTACAAATAGAAAAACTGTTCAAGACAGTCTTAAATAAATTGCACGTTGCAAAATAACTGATGACCATTGTATCATTATATAACCCACACATACTTTCAGACTGGCTTTTAATATATCTAATTCATGGATTATTTGCAAAACATTACATTAATTCACTAGAAAGTTTTTAAAGTTGTAAAATTAAACTTTTTCTTAAATAATAAGAGAAAATTATATGAAATGAGTATATTGTAAACATAATATGATTTCTAATTAGAGTATTCATAAATTAAATAATTTGTATAATTAAAATAATTTTGTTGAAGTCTTTAGAAATTTCTTGTGTAATTCTTTTAAAAGTAATGAAATGTAACTACTGTAAATAAATTTTTACATATAAATTGTTAACTAATATAATTTTCTCAGAATAATATAATATAATCTGAACAGCTAAGAAAATTTTGGCTTTATCTTTTATTAATAAATCTATTTTTCAAAGCAAAAAACAGATCTTAAGCACATTTATGAGAAAATGCAGTAAATACAATCATATATATATATATATATTGTATTAACCACTTCTATGTTTGTTATCTATGTAGCCAAAACAATATGACACAAAAATGTTTCAGTATGGGAGAATTTTTCAATAGAAAATTGCTTTGCGTGATTACCAAGCTATCAGAATTACATTGTGTGGAAGTTTATTATTAGGGGAAGTCAAATGAAAACAGGACACCATGCAAATAGAACTCAAGGAATGTGAAAGTTGGTCACACTAATGTTTACAGATGATACTGCAATCTGTGGGAAGGAGGACAGAACAGTGACAAACTAAACACACTCAAGAATACCTTTAAATATGCAGCCGTATTTATTAAATTCTAACGTTTTCGGTCATATTCAATGACCTTTCTCAAGAAAAAACCGAAAAAATCGAACTCCGAACTTGAATTAACGATACAAGCGTTTTTTCGGATACAAGCGATACAAGAAAAAACGCTTGTATCGTTAATTCAAGTTCGGAGTTCAATTTTTTCGGTTTTTTCTTGAGAAAGGTCATTGAATATGACCGAAAACGTTAGAATTTAATAAATACGGCTGCATATTTAAAGGTATTCTTGAGTGTGTTTAGTTAGTAAGAAATTGCAGTCTAGGATGAGTTGTTAGAACAGTGACAACTTGCACATACACTCATTATTTGTTTATTGTGCTCGAAGTAAGGTTAGCAATATGTGTATTCATCCAATATTAGAATTGAGGTGAGTAAAGGACAGAAGAGAGATATGGTTCATTTTTGACTGTAGAGAGTGTTGGAGGACAAGAGATTCATTGCTGCATGTCTTTTGTGTATGACAGACACTACATGTCACATGTACATGTGCTGGAGTGACATAAGAGATTTTGAGATGGATATGTGTCACTGTGAGATGATAGGCTTGTGCTCAGGATAGATTCATTGCATCATTACTCCTGATGTTATTGTGCAGGGTTATGGTCTAATCCAGGAAAATTAACAGATCACAGTGGAAAAACTTTGTGTTTTGGTGGGTATAAGCCATGGTTCCATAGAAGTAAGTAATTCAAGTGCAATAAAAAAACAATGAGAATGCATGTGCAGGTTGCCATCATGCTGTCCTCTTTCCCCCACAGATGGCAGTATCATTTGTAAACATCATGTTGCCAACTTTTGCATGCCTTGAGTTTTATGCATGGTAACCCATTTTCATTTGACTGACCCTAATACATTATTTCACTGAGAAGAAAGAAACAACAATTTATTTGAAATTGACTGCTGTTCTCTATATTTTTTAAGTCATATGATGAAAAAGAAACACAGGCATTTTATATTTTGTGAAATGTTCATTAATCAAGACAGAACAGTATATTATTTCTGTGTTTATCTTTGGTTAAAAATTTGAGTGCTAAACTTCTGTGCTTAATAACATGATTCTCTTTGTACTTGTTTTCTAAAGTGATTGAATGACTAAATTATGAAAATTTATACACTGGAAATTCTATATGAAAGAATTTTATTTATCAATTCTCCTTATTTTTAAATTCAAATAATAATTAATTTTTAAAGCATCTTTTAAAACAAAACTTTACTAATTTTTTTTTATAAATAAATATAAAATTGTAAAAAGATTGATTCTTGTAGACATTCCAGATGGATGGAAAATGATAAATGGAAAAATTATCTTTGTACAGTACATAAATGACAAACTAATGTCCAAAGTTCATTTTTATGTTTTTAGCATAAGTTAAACATATTGGAAGTTTCATTATAATATTTCTTTTTAATTACTTTCACAAAAATGTTTTTTTAATGAGTGATTTCCACATTGATTGATATTACACATGTAAATAAACATCCAAACCAACAACTACCTACAATTAACCATTAACCGGTGCAAAATTCTTTAAAATCGGCGAACGTTTTCGATTCCCCTCCTGGGATCTTCTTCAGGCTTACTTCTTTATAGCTTTCATTATAACCGAATTCTTTAATTCGAATGTTTTTGAAAAAACGTAACGTGCCATTTTTCGAAAAAATTTCCGAAAACGGAAGGAATCCACGTGTTATTTCAAATGTAATTTTCTACCAATGGGGAATCGTTGTGTGCATTACATCATAAAATTTATTTTATACAATATATTATGATTTATCGTCAATTAAAAATTGCCATGCTGCAGAGAGATTTATTTCTTCTTTGAAATTAATGCATGCAGATTTACGATCGGCTTTAAAGATTTCCAGTGCCTCCAAAGGTAGTTGTTGGTTTGGAGTATATACAACCCGGTGTGGTAAGAAAGCACATTAATTAAATAAACATCATTATTGTGGGGATCTTATTTCAACAGAATCTTAATGTGTATTCTCAATGGAATTTGAAAAATATATATAATGAGGTTATTTTTTCATTAAATTTATCTGAATGGGATTGTCATCTTTTGACATATAAAATTATTATTCTTTTCTTTTTAAAATTCTTATTCTGTTAATATATCTTGAAATGACTATCCATATATTCTCCTAATATGTCTAAAAATCTCATCAGTTTTGTCTAGTTTAAAATTAAAACAAAACTTGATATTTACCCGTTATATATGATGATTATGATTTTATTTATTTTGCTGATTTTCTTTCTCTAAAAAAATATGAATTTATACTTTTTAATTTTTTGTGTTTTATTCAAATTCAATTAACAAACTTTTTGAAACCAACATATTTTATTAGTTTATTTACTAATAAACTAATATAGTTGAAAGATAACTATTGAATATACTTTTTTCAAAAATAAGGACATTGGTCGTCTTAAGATAGAAATTTTTTTGAAGCAGTGTATTATTTTGAGAATAATTAACAGAGTTTTAAGAGATAATCTAGAGATAAAAATGTTATGGATAAAATGAACATTTATAACATTACTTATTTCTGTTTTGACTAATGAATTTTATAGTTCAGAATTAATTCTCCAGATATTAACAATAAATTTAATAATTTATTATTTAGTTAATTTTGTAGTTTGCTGGAATTGCAAGATGTAATTTATTAGTTAGTACATATATAGTTTCCAGTTAAGTCAATACAAGATTATGTAGTTAGTTTATTTTTTTTATTTTGGTGGATATGTACTGTACATATATATGAGATTGAAGTTAAAACTCTGAAAGTATTAAGAAACTATGGATTCTCAAATTATGTGAAGGTTACATTCTAAGTTAAATTTTACATAATATGAATAAAATTTTTTTGTCACTTAAGTTTATGTTTGGTGCATCAAAAGAGATAGTTGAAAAACAGCAAAAAAAGAAAATGTGTATATATTTTATATATATGTACTCTCAGGGATTCTGGAATGAATCCAATCGGATTGAAAAACCCTAGAAATTTTTCTGGGCCAAGATCCATGGATGTGTCAGGCCCTATCATTTCATCACTATTTAGCTGCCTCATTGTGGGCCTGGCTAAACAATGGATTTAATTTAACTTTGCTTCAAGATGCTCATGGAATGGATTTTCAAGTGGCCAATATTTTCTGAACAATATGATATGTAAATATTTTTATTAATAGAGAAAGAATAACTATGCTAAGCATATAATTTTGAATAATTTTTCCTGATTTTTTTAATGTATATTTCACAATATGTAATTTGAGAACCCACTGTACTAATTATTTAAGACATTATTAACAGATTACTTTTTAATATTATTTTTAATTTTATTACTATTGTATAAAACTATTTTCTCTGTAATTTAATAACTACAGAAATTATAAATCTTTATTTTATTTAATAAAGAGAAATAAGATTTTTTAAAATTTATTTAACAAATTAATTCTTTTATATGTTGTAACTATTATTTTAGTATATTTGTTATTTTTACTGTGATGATTTTAATGAAAGATATTTATTCATCTGAATTTTATTAATGAAACGTTGTGTTAGGAATTTTGAATAAACATGAATTTATTATTTTTTATATGCTTATTCCATTATTGTTTTGTTAATTTTGTTTCAATATATTTTTCAAATTATCTTAAACAAAATATTAACTTTTTATTTTAGTATTTTTTTTTTATATAAAACATTTTTAACTTTAAGATATTTTCTTAAGGCTGAAAATTTAATTTGATTTCAGTTAATTGAAGTTGAATAAATTGCTTTATATATGAAAAGATGTAATGTTAATTTTTTAATATTTTATACCTTAGGCACAAGAAGATGCTGAAATGTTGAGATCTTTAGTTGTACCTTTAGAAGAAGAAATAAAAGCCCTCAAAGATAAATTACGATCTACTGATGAACATCTGAGGATGTATGAGACTGCATTCTCTGGATTAGTTAAAGGTTTAGGATCTGATTCACTGGCTGAAATGTTAAAAGGAAAATCTCCTGCTGAAGTTGTTGGACATTTAGATGATAAAGTAAATAATTATATATATATATATTTTCAAATGTAATTTTCTACCAATGGGGAATCGTTGTGTGCATTACATCATAAAATTTATTTTATACAATATATTATGATTTATCGTCAATTAAAAATTGCCATGCTGCAGAGAGATTTATTTCTTCTTTGAAATTAATGCATGCAGATTTACGATCGGCTTTAAAGATTTCCAGTGCCTCCAAAGGTAGTTGTTGGTTTGGAGTATATACAACCCGGTGTGGTAAGAAAGCACATTAATTAAATAAACATCATTATTGTGGGGATCTTATTTCAACAGAATCTTAATGTGTATTCTCAATGGAATTTGAAAAATATATATAATGAGGTTATTTTTTCATTAAATTTATCTGAATGGGATTGTCATCTTTTGACATATAAAATTATTATTCTTTTCTTTTTAAAATTCTTATTCTGTTAATATATCTTGAAATGACTATCCATATATTCTCCTAATATGTCTAAAAATCTCATCAGTTTTGTCTAGTTTAAAATTAAAACAAAACTTGATATTTACCCGTTATATATGATGATTATGATTTTATTTATTTTGCTGATTTTCTTTCTCTAAAAAAATATGAATTTATACTTTTTAATTTTTTGTGTTTTATTCANATTATGATTTATCGTCAATTAAAAATTGCCATGCTGCAGAGAGATTTATTTCTTCTTTGAAATTAATGCATGCAGATTTACGATCGGCTTTAAAGATTTCCAGTGCCTCCAAAGGTAGTTGTTGGTTTGGAGTATATACAACCCGGTGTGGTAAGAAAGCACATTAATTAAATAAACATCATTATTGTGGGGATCTTATTTCAACAGAATCTTAATGTGTATTCTCAATGGAATTTGAAAAATATATATAATGAGGTTATTTTTTCATTAAATTTATCTGAATGGGATTGTCATCTTTTGACATATAAAATTATTATTCTTTTCTTTTTAAAATTCTTATTCTGTTAATATATCTTGAAATGACTATCCATATATTCTCCTAATATGTCTAAAAATCTCATCAGTTTTGTCTAGTTTAAAATTAAAACAAAACTTGATATTTACCTGTTATATATGATGATTATGATTTTATTTATTTTGCTGATTTTCTTTCTCTAAAAAAATATGAATTTATACTTTTTAATTTTTTGTGTTTTATTCAAATTCAATTAACAAACTTTTTGAAACCAACATATTTTATTAGTTTATTTACTAATAAACTAATATAGTTGAAAGATAACTATTGAATATACTTTTTTCAAAAATAAGGACATTGGTCGTCTTAAGATAGAAATTTTTTTGAAGCAGTGTATTATTTTGAGAATAATTAACAGAGTTTTAAGAGATAATCTAGAGATAAAAATGTTATGGATAAAATGAACATTTATAACATTACTTATTTCTGTTTTGACTAATGAATTTTATAGTTCAGAATTAATTCTCCAGATATTAACAATAAATTTAATAATTTATTATTTAGTTAATTTTGTAGTTTGCTGGAATTGCAAGATGTAATTTATTAGTTAGTACATATATAGTTTCCAGTTAAGTCAATACAAGATTATGTAGTTAGTTTATTTTTTTTATTTTGGTGGATATGTACTGTACATATATATGAGATTGAAGTTAAAACTCTGAAAGTATTAAGAAACTATGGATTCTCAAATTATGTGAAGGTTACATTCTAAGTTAAATTTTACATAATATGAATAAAATTTTTTTGTCACTTAAGTTTATGTTTGGTGCATCAAAAGAGATAGTTGAAAAACAGCAAAAAAAGAAAATGTGTATATATTTTATATATATGTACTCTCAGGGATTCTGGAATGAATCCAATCGGATTGAAAAACCCTAGAAATTTTTCTGGGCCAAGATCCATGGATGTGTCAGGCCCTATCATTTCATCACTATTTAGCTGCCTCATTGTGGGCCTGGCTAAACAATGGATTTAATTTAACTTTGCTTCAAGATGCTCATGGAATGGATTTTCAAGTGGCCAATATTTTCTGAACAATATGATATGTAAATATTTTTATTAATAGAGAAAGAATAACTATGCTAAGCATATAATTTTGAATAATTTTTCCTGATTTTTTTAATGTATATTTCACAATATGTAATTTGAGAACCCACTGTACTAATTATTTANAAAATTTCCTGGAAATTTGTGGACCCGTTCAAATTCGATTCCGGATCTCCCAGATTAAAAAAGTAATGTATTTAGTTAAAAGTAGCAAGTAACGAAAATTAAAAATTAGCCTAATCTGGCAACAAGCCCGACATGCATATTTGTACAGATTTATATTCCATACAGTATGGCCGTTATTGTTGACGTTCAGGTTTCAAGAAAAGTTCGAGTTTTGGAGCAAAATTACCTGGAAGAAAGTGTTCGGATTCCAAGTTTTCCGACTTTTGAAGCATTCGAGTTCCGAAATACCAATGTATATTTTATACCTTCAAATAATTATTCTTAATTGAAAAGAGCATTTTACTATACAAAAACATTTGATAGATACGTTGTATATAGATGGGCAAGACATTACTAAAATCGAGAGCATATATTTTAAATTAAACAAGTTAATTATATTTTTAGAAAATTGCCGTCCAGTATTGTGACAATGCGATCACAATAATTTTTTCTCGTTTAAAACTAACAAGTAAGTTAATCATAAACTCAAAAGATAGCAATAACCGTTTAAATGTTTTCTTAATATTTCCCCAATTATTTACCATAATTACATTTCATCAATTGTTCATGCTTAATTCTTTCTGTTCTGTGGGCATTAACACAGCCTTTTGCATGTACTGTACCTCGTGGGTTTGGCCATGTCAATAATGGAGTAGTCGAGTAATCAGAGACGAGTTTAACATACACGGGATGAACCACCTATGAAAAAAGATTTAACAACGAGAATTGCGTAACTTTATCGGCATTTATGAGTTTTTATTTTAAAAAACTTTATATTTTCATTAATTTATCTCAGACTTATTATTTAACTTTATTTTAAGCTCTTTTAAACTCACAATTTTTCTAAGAAACAGTAGATTACAAGATTGTACATTTATTACCTGATAAGTAGACAAAATTATCTTGCTTCTGATATTTTAATGTTGGCTCTTAATCACTTTGGAAAATTTTTAAAAAATTGCCAACCATTTTGCCAGTTTCAAATTTTTTTTCACCACTTCAAATTATTTATCACAACCAGTTTTACTTACTAATTAATGCAGGTGCTGGTAGCCTTATCAGCTTGGAGTCTGAAAAGCAAAAGTAACAACAGTGAGATGTCATTTAGAAATAGGAATCATTTTTGAATAGTTTTTTAAGGAATAATTCTGAATAATACATTTTATCACAATGCTCAAACAGTATTTCACAGGTTCTGTCATTTCAAAATTTTTGTGCAAGAAAACTGCCTTCTGCCTTCTGTTCTCAATGTTACTTCCTACTTTTCTGTCCAAACTTGTCATATGACATCATGACATTCCTAGGTATGTGGTGCACAGGAACATGACATTCTGCTGTTCTTCCTGAAGCATGCTTTGTGATTCAGTTTTACGCTGAATATTGAAATAAGCAGACTAGGGATTTTATTGCCAGTATTATATTTTTATCACCACTTTAGTAAAAATATTGCCAAGTGGCAATTTTGATGTTATGCAATGTCACCCCTGCTTAAGGCTAATTCTCACTAGTGGTTTTATCTGCACATTATTTCTGAGGCAGAGAAAAACTGCTTAGTGGTTTATATGTATTTATTTATATGTATGTATGTGTGTGTGTCTGAAAAACATTAACCTATAAGTCTTTAGAAGCATTATCCTGGATTTCTGTTCAACTCATAAATATGGATGATCATATTCAAGATACATATTTAGCATACCAATGTTTGTTTATTTTTACAATTGTCATTATATTAAAAAAAGAACAAAAAATAATTATAGCAGGTAGAGGATTATTACAAAATTAGGCTAAATTAAGATTTAAAAATGATTTAATCAGAGAGATAAGATTAAATAATTATGAAAGTTTTCAGGTAATTCAGTCAAAATAAGTCAATAGAAGTGTAGTAAAACAATAAATCAGTAAATTAAGTATTGTATTTATACCTATCCCTTGATTTGCACGGTACTCAATTTGCATGGTTTCACTTTTACACTGTTTTTAAATGAAAACAAAGAGTTTTTGAGACAGCTGTTGGTATCTGTTCGTGTGTTATTCTCATACAGATCTCAGGGGAAGACAGGTTTCTACTGTAAATCAGTTACTGTAAATACTCAAATACATCATGATTTTTCAATCCACTACACTATCTCTATAGATTGGGACCAAAAAATGGTCCAAAATATAAACTTTTATTAGGTGTAAAATTACAAAACTTGCTGAGGTCATAAATAACATCCAATAGAATGTAAATAAGCATTGTTTGAATTATTTCAAGCAACAAAATATTATGTATGCTTATTTAAATTAGCTCAAGTTATCTTGGGTCCAGACAGTTCCTGTTAAGAATAAGAAAGAAAACACCGAAGTGAATTCTAATAACAGGTGAAAAGAGTTTGCATTTTTAATAATTTATTTCATAATATTGTTGTAACTTGATGATCACTGATTTCATACCATCTAAAAGTAAATCAACTTTTATTAATGAAGTGGAAAATGTAGCCAACATCTCAGTTAGTGAAGCAGTACCTATGGGAAACATTGATGAATTTTCTGTTAGTGACTCATATAGTGATGTTACACCAGCCCTACCAAAGAAAAGGAGACTTCTAGCTTTACAAAGCTCTGAAGAAGAGTAAAGGCTGATTTTTATTTCTGTTTTTTAAATTATAGTTGTTATGAAGGTTATTTAAGTTTAAATTCTTTTATTGTTTTTATTTGCACACAACATTGTTAATTTGTTTGTTTTTTTTTTTACTTATTTCTTTTTATACCGTATTCGGTGTTAATTAATGTTTGTTTTTGATTTTCAAAAATAAATTGAAAAAGTACTGTACATATAAGCATTAAATTACCTTTAAAAATTAATGAACTCGTCCTTTTTTTCCTTTAATCCTTATCTCATTTTACGTGGTTATAAAGAGCATATCCTTGACTTTCCCTTGCCTTCTTTAGATCGATTTACATGGTTTCAGTTTAATTGAACATATCCTTCTATTTTGTATGAATTCAGTATCTCATTTTACACGGTTCAGTTTGCATGATTTTTCTAGGAACATATCTACTGTGTAAATTGAGGGATGAGTGTATTTGATTTTGTTATTGAAGTTATGTAAGACAGTGATGTTTTATAAGATATGATTTCCATAAGCTACATTTATAAAACTAATTAATTAATTAATTTATTTTTGAATTTTGAATTTATTTTGAACACAACAGGTAAGGCTCAGACGTACTAAAGATGACTATCCCTCACTTAAAACAAACCAAACAAACCTGCAAATCTAATATTAAATTAGTAATAGAAATTTAGTTTAGTAATATTTTATATTTTATGATTTTAATTTCCTTATTATTTTGCAGTTTTTATGTTCAACTTTTATATATATAACAATTTAACAGAATTATATCTTTTTAAAGCCATACAGTTACTTAGCTTAAAAAAAAAAAAAATATCACACTGAACTGATAAATTGGAATTGTATCTCTTATTTATTAAGAGATTAGAATTTTTATACAAAAATCCTTTTGAAAATGTATTTATTTTATCTTAGCTTCAGTCAAAAAATAGCTATTAAGTATAAAATTCTATGACACCGAAAATTTCAAGTTTTTTTTAATGTTAACTATAAATAGATTTCAAGTTTGAACTTAGATCCCAAGTTCAAATGTTTGATGTGATAATGAAATATAAAATATCTTCAAAAATGTTTAATGAAAACTTTCTAATCCAATAAAATTCAAAAAACATAATAAGAAATATGTTTTCTGAATTATATTGGACTATATTTTAGAAAGTTTGTCATTAAAAGTATAGTATTGATATTTACAAGCAAAATACTATTTATACATACAGAATCTAACTTTTTATTTATTTTCTTGATTAAATAAATAAATAAGTTACAAAATGCATCAAAAGTTTTAATTTAAAATATTTATTTTAATCACAAAAATATATTATATAAACTACACTTGTTTCATAAATTTAGAAAGTAGCAAAATCTGTTTTATGAATTTACGAACTCAATAATATATAGGTTACTTTACTTTACATATTTTGTTTAGTAATTTTGTGTTTAACACTTGCTATTGTGATTCTTGCTTCATTATAGGCAAATTTGAGTGCTAACAAAGGAAGAAAAAATTAAGATTTCTGAAAAAAGGTGATTGAGTAAATCAATAGAAGATATTGACAAAGATTTAAATATATCATAATCAGCTCTTTTAAAATGTTTGAAACAAATACATCAAGACAATGAAATCCTAACACCTACCTTTAGTCCCAAATTATTTAGCATTTAATTAATAATAATAATAATAATATCAATGTAGCCTGATATAATTCGGCAATCATTTGGCTTTAAAGAGATCAAAGTTAACAATTAATTAGAATATTAAAATTTCTTGAGAAGTCAGATTACAGAATATAGTCTCTTTATTATAGTAATGTGATTAGAATTTCTAATGGCAGAGTGAGACATTTTTTGTACTGGAATTAGCTTGTTTGCTGTTGTATGAGCTAAAGGAGTGTAACCTAGAACTTTTAGTATTTGAATACCTGGCACAAAATGAGAACTTTTTAGAATTGAATAGTTCTCATTTGATAATTCCATCTTTAATTGGAATCATCTAGAACTAATTTGAATGAAACTCAGTAACAAAATGTTTCTTATGTGTGTAATAAAAATGATTTTACTATTAAAATGAACGTAACTGGGGAATATTTACCTGGTATAGTTTAAGGTTAAAAAAATACTAACACTTTTTTAAAATGGGTAAACTGTCAAAACAGAAAAGATATTCAATATCATGCCATTTTGGTTTATACAGGTTTTACTGTATAACCTTTAAAATAAATGCTAAAAATATATTCTTATGTAAATTAATGTGTGTGTAAATTATGAAATAATTATATTTAACAGTTCAGATTTCTGTTTGTAAATTTGAAGCTTATTAAATATTAGTTTTTGCAGATTACAGTAGAGCATCGATTATCTGACCCCCAATTAACCGTCACCTCGGTTAACCGACTGTTCTAGTCGACAAATTCAAATGTCCGCTAGTGATGTGGCGCTACAATATTTGGCTATGTCTTGGCTACTTTAATAGTATTTTTACGTGTTTTAGCTGGCAACACTGGCTCGACCATGAAAGGGAGCCAGTATTTAAACGAGGCTTACTTTTCTAATTTTTAACGATACAATAGCGACAATTATTATTTTAAAAAACGTTTTGTTAGGCTTAACATCGATGAAAATTCAACGCAAGTAGGTTAATAGCGATACACTAATATACTAATTACATGAGATATACTAATATACTACACTAATAATGGATTTTTTCATACTTCCTGGTTATCCGTTTTTTCAGTTATCCGGCCAACCCCAGTCCCCAATCGAGTCGGATAATCGATGCTCTACTGTATTAATATTTTGTTACTGAATGTTTTAAATATTAAACATCATTTAACTCTAGTAGATAAATGTGGTAGCTTAAATATTGAACTTTACTGCTTATTATGTATGTGATTATTATTTTCTTTACATAAGAAAAGAAAATTTACAAGAATTTATCTAAAATAATTATTCTTTAACTATACCTTATATTTTTTAGTTAACTAGTTTAAGCCAAGGACTTCAAGCAGAAAAAGCTTCTAGAAGTGATTTAGAAATGTATGTTGCTGTCTTGAATACACAAAAGAGTGTAATGCAAGATGATATGGACAGAATAAAGAAAGAGTTACAAGAAGGTACATATCTTAAAATAAAGGTTTCAAATATACAATATGAACAAAATTTTGATATGCTTAGATATAATCATTGAAATTATTTTTTACGTAATTATCTGCACTACTAAAAGAATTTAATTTTATAATGTTATTGTATGGGTTTATTTTCAAACTGATTTTGTATAGTTAATATGTAAATAATTTAATAAAAGCTAAAAGTAACACAATTTGAGAGCTGAAAGAATTAACAGTTGCATTCATATAATTTAGTTAAGTCTAAATAGATTTTAAAAAGATAATGTTTTTTTATATTGTTTAGACAATTATTTCTGTCATTAGAATAACAAAATAAATTGATTCCAACAGTTTTATGTATAATTATTGTAGATGTGGAAATAGAGTAGAAAACTATAGAATTTTTTATGATGTGTGTGTGTATGTGTATATCATTGTCATTTATATTGCCATATGAGATATGAATCAAGTGATATATTTATGCACCAAGAAGCAATAGGAATCTTAAAATTTTTATTTACTCGATAAAGGAAGAATTCAATAAATTTATTTTTGCTATTTTACATAAATGGATAGTTTTATTACTAAACATACAAACAATGCATAGTTTACATACTGAAATATCTGGGATTTTCTTACTAAAGTATGTTATAGTCTAAACTTTTTCAAATTTTACTTTCTAAAATATTAGTTTATTGTTATTTATACAAATATTTTGAGTCTGCATACAAATTAAATGAAAATCAGAACAGTCATTGAACTACTATTAAACTTTCTTTCATTTACAATTTTTCTGGTTATTTTTAAAGAACTACTATCACAACACTTTTCATTCATTAGAACCTAATTTTAGATTTTGTTTGGTCATTCCCAGATTGTTCTTATCTAAAACTAAAGAGAAAGAAATAATTACTGTTGTAAAAAAATTTTTACAACAGTAATTTTTACAACAGTAAAATTTTTTGTATTAAAAAAATACTCTGCTTCTTGAATAATTAGAGCATTTTCATGTATTTCCTAGATTTAAATTTCATATATTTTAATATTTTTTTTCCTTACAGAAAATAAAGAAATTTGTTTAATTTTTAAATGAACAGGAATACTTAAAAATAAATTTTTAAAATATAATTAATTATAGATAGCATAATTACAGGTATGCCTCACCTTATGCCAGTAATTGGTTCCAGGAGAGGCAACTTAAGTCAAATTTACTTGTCTCTGAATTTAATTGTCACTAGGCTAAACCACAAATAACCATTCCCAGTTCTGTATTTTATTTATAAATGCATTTTTAATAATATATGGTTAATAAGAATCTATTTTAAGCTTACAAACAAATAAATTTTAGTTTTTAATATAGTACAGAGAAAAGTAACCTAAATTTACGAATACATGTATGTACATATTTGTAAATGTACATGTTTAGAATTTAGTGGTGTTTATAGTACATTGCAGACTCTTTATTTGTGAATGTGGTTTGCTCTAAGACATTATAAAATAAGATAATTTTGTAAGGTTGAATAACAAATACAGTTATTAAAATTATTTTGTGATAGTAGAAAATAAACTAATTTATGTTAAATTTACCAATATCGATTGGTGCTGACAACGCCAAACGGTAGATATTGGAACTACCATGGAAAATGCCAATATTGAGTTCTTGAAGAATGCTAAATAAGACAACACAGAGTCACAGATGTTTTCATACTTCATTCTCTAGGATTTATGATGATTGTATTAAACATTATTTGTAAATTATTTTAATATGACTTTATGTATTTTTAATGCTTTTCTAGTGATATTACAACTTAAATATTTGTGGCAGACAGATATAAAGTCGAATAAAATGACTTAAACTTGATTTTTATTTTTCCATGTATTTTTTTGACAAACGACATATAATTGAGAATGACGTAACTCGAAATGATGTAACTCAAGGTATACCTGTATAGATTACAGAAAATTTACTAAATTATTTATATCAATTTTTAAATTACTTCTAGTAAAATTGATTGCAGTATATTTGATGATAATGTACATCTAATTTGGATTGCAATTCCATGCATTATCATGTATTCCAATTTAAACTAAACAATAGTCTTTACTCTAGAAATCCAGAATAAAAATAAATTCTGAAAATTACACATTCTTTATAAAATAACTGTAAATTTATGAACTTAAAATAAGATTGTAACTTCAAAAATAATATCAAAATAATCAAGCTGAAATGTTCACTGAATAAAAAGATGAGAAAAACGAATAAAAAAATTGAACGGTTTAGCATATTATTATTTATATGTTTATAAATTATGATACAGTTTGTCAAGTACATTAAATCATAAATAATTATTAGCTTATTATTAAAATACTATTAATATATTATTAAATTATTGTATGTTTTTCTTAGGGTCAACATAAAAATGTTAAAAATTATTTCTTGGAACCAAAATTATCATGCATAGTATTATGTCATTAAAAAAGAAAAAATTTGTCTATTTATTTTTTATACACTTAACATTAAATTACTGAAAATACTGGATTAGAATTATTAGCATTGATTGAATTAAAATAAGAAAAAAACTTTAACGAAAATTTTACTTAGTTAAATTTTTGTACTACAGGTTTCATTACTTATTTCAAAAAATAAATAAATTGTTAAAAATATAAAATACAGAAATAACATAAATTTTAATCTGAAATGTTTTCAGATTCATTTGTCTTAATCATTTATGATAATACATCAGTTTGAAATAATTTAATGATATTTGTTGAAGAAAAATTAAAAAAAAGTTCTTTTAACAAAATTTAGAATTTATTGGTCAATATTTTTGTTTATTATTATAATTACTTTAAATACATAAATAACAAGTACACATTAAAATTAAAAATTTGTATTACTTTCTATCTCATAATGCTGTTAACACATATTTGTAAATAGTTTTGTGTTTGTATTATAAACTTACTATTCATTTAGAAAAATTTCATTAACCTTGCTGCATTATTCAAAAATAATAATAAGTGCATATATCCTAGCATTATGAATTACTTGTCATTACATTTGCTTATTTATTTAATATCTCTTTGATGCTAGAAAGAAATTTCATATTGTTTTTTAATCAAAGTAATTGTATTAAATTTTATATTAAATCGAATTAAAACTAAAATTTCATAATAGACTTCTTGTATCTAGAATAGATTGTTTAAAAAATTGTAGAACGCTCAAAATTTTGATCATGAACAATGAAATAGCTTTCTTTAGATTTAGATTGATTTTTCAAAATATGAAAATAATTGATAAAAATTATAGGATTTTTATATATTTGGTATGATGATGACTTTTGGCTCATTCAATCAATATACAGGCTGTCTTCATTTTATGCTGGCGATGCATTTTTGGAAGAGGAGGCATAAACAAAATTGGCACACAATAAATTATTTTATTATAGAACACATCCCTATTTATTCTATAATAAAAAAATTATATATATTATTTTATCATTTTTTCAATGAAAACATTATGTTTACTACTGAAAAATTCTTACAAATACATAATAATAATAATAAATTTACATAGACATAATCAAGTAGCAAATATAATACACCAAGAGCTTGCAAAGAAACCCAAATTATTAGACATCCACAAACCATACTACAAATACATTCCACAGACAGTATTGGAAAACAACACACACACAATGTATTATGACAGAGATGAAACAATCACAGATAAAACAATTTACCACAACAGACCAGACATCACACTCATTAACAAACACAATAAAATCACATACATTATAGACGTATCATATCCATTCCAAACACTCACAATGTACAAAATGCATGCAGTGGAAAAATCAGCAAGTACACAGAACTTGCCCAGGAAATAAGGCATCTGTGGAGAATGGAAAGGGTGCTTATTGTACCTATTGTTCTCTCTTGTACAGGTGNTTCTCATGTATTTGTAAATAGTTTTGTGTTTGTATTATAAACTTACTATTCATTTAGAAAAATTTCATTAACCTTGCTGCATTATTCAAAAATAATAATAAGTGCATATATCCTAGCATTATGAATTACTTGTCATTACATTTGCTTATTTATTTAATATCTCTTTGATGCTAGAAAGAAATTTCATATTGTTTTTTAATCAAAGTAATTGTATTAAATTTTATATTAAATCGAATTAAAACTAAAATTTCATAATAGACTTCTTGTATCTAGAATAGATTGTTTAAAAAATTGTAGAACGCTCAAAATTTTGATCATGAACAATGAAATAACTTTCTTTAGATTTAGATTGATTTTTCAAAATATGAAAATAATTGATAAAAATTATAGGATTTTTATATATTTGGTATGATGATGACTTTTGGCTCATTCAATCAATATACAGGCTGTCTTCATTTTATGCTGGCGATGCATTTTTGGAAGAGGAGGCATAAACAAAATTGGCACACAATAAATTATTTTATTATAGAACACATCCCTATTTATTCTATAATAAAAAAATTATATATATTATTTTATCATTTTTTCAATGAAAACATTATGTTTACTACTGAAAAATTCTTACAAATACATAATAATAATAATAAATTTACATAGACATAATCAAGTAGCAAATATAATACACCAAGAGCTTGCAAAGAAACCCAAATTATTAGACATCCACAAACCATACTACAAATACATTCCACAGACAGTATTGGAAAACAACACACACACAATGTATTATGACAGAGATGAAACAATCACAGATAAAACAATTTACCACAACAGACCAGACATCACACTCATTAACAAACACAATAAAATCACATACATTATAGACGTATCATATCCATTCCAAACACTCACAATGTACAAAATGCATGCAGTGGAAAAATCAGCAAGTACACAGAACTTGCCCAGGAAATAAGGCATCTGTGGAGGATGGATAGGGTAGTTATTGTACCTATTGTTCTCTCTTGTACAGGTGTGATACCACACACTACACAAAAGCCTGGGAACATTACAATTGAATAGAAATATATACATTACACTACAGAAGGCCACTATATTGAATACATGACACATTGTTAGGAAATTCCTGAATACAGACGTTGACATGCTTATTTAATTTCAGTTTTTGGTTGCTATGCCTTGACTCTGGTCCAGCATAGTACACAGCCACCAGTATCAACTGAGTATAACCCACTAAATACTGTATAATAATAATACATAAATTATAATTTAGTTATTTATAACCAAAAATGATGATGCAGTTTTTATGCCACTACTGTATTGATCTCCTATAGCATTACCACTAGATGCAACTTCATTTCTATGATTACAGTTCTGGTTGAGGGTCATCTATTAATAATGGGCAAGGCTGTGGATTGTGTATCTTTGTAAAATATGAATCCAAAGTTTGTTGTGTCTTTCTTTTCCTCTCAAGAATTTTGTAATAAGTTGTTGAGGCTTCATTTTAACTCAACCTCACAAAGTCAGGATTGATTTGGCAACACTCTTCAATCAATAAATTGTCATTAACAAGAAATTTTTTAATGGTATCAGTTGTTATTTTTTAAAATTATGGATTGATATGACTTCTTGACAACTTGGATATTTGGATTCACTAATTTCTTTTATTTGATATGGCTGTTCTTTTTTTCTATTTTCATTATTATACATTAAATTCACTTTAAAATGGTGAATTTTAAAGTGACACTGTTTAGAACCACTATTAATATGATGATATGTTTAAAAATAATATCTGATAGACATATTTCAGAAATATAAGTTTGAAAAGATATCTGAAATCCTCTGTCAATTGATGTAATCACTTTTCACGTAGTTCCCATTCATAGCAACGTGCGCCAATGTGAAATGACTTGTTCAAACCCGTCCCTGTAAAAGTTGGAAATCTTAAGAAATCACTTTTGCACCTGCATCTGAAGAGAATTAACATTGCCCTCGAGATGTTCCTTAAGCTTTAAGAACAAGAAAAAATTGCAAGTTGAAAGTTCTGGGCTTTATGATGGATGGGGTAAAATGCCATCAAATCAAAGCTTCTCTATTGCTGTGCATGTTTGTTTGCACATGTGAGGTCAAGCACTGCCATCAATTGCCATCTTTTCAGAACATCCCTTATGTAGCCTTCACTTCAGATTTTTTAGGGTGACAACATAGCATTCTGTGTTGAGTCATCATGATCCAGAAAGTCAAGATGAATGATGTCATTGCAGTCCCAGAAAACAGTAATTGTAACTTTTCTCACTGAGGGAACTGCTTTGAATTTATTTGCTTGAGGTGAATTCTTATGTCTGTACAGTCGACCCCCCCCCCTATAATTACGGTCTCTATAATTACGATTCCTATAAAACTACGAAAAAATATACGTATTTTGGAAATGTTGAGTCGGATTAGTGTAGAATCGATTAATTTTATGGAAGAAAACCTTTCAATCAGCCGTAGTCCGTAAACTTGACACGTGTCGGGCTGTGATTGGAACGACTTGTAAGAAATCGGATTCCTAATAAATTGGAACGTATCTATATCTTATAGGGGGGGGTCGACTGTACTCCATGGAATGATGTTTCATTTCAGGGTCATAGTAGTGTGCTCAGGATTCATTGCCAGTCATAATTCTGTGGAGATTGAGATGAGATGGAGATGAAATGAAAGACCAGTAAAAGGAAATTTTTGTAAAATTCTTGGCTGGCTGTGACACAGATGATGTCATCATCATCATCTGTGTCATAGCCAGCCAAGAATTTTACAAAAATTTCCTTTTACTGGTCTTTCATTTCATCAATAAGGCATTGGGTCAACCAATGCATATAAACTTTCTTATATTGCAGTGTGTTCTGGATAATGTGATAAACTCTTATGTGAAATGCGCAAAATTTCTGTAATATCTGTCTGCCTGCATCATTGATTCTCATGAACCAATCCATCAGTATCTGTCTGCACATAGCAAAGGCAGATAGCCATCTGTCTTTGCTATGTGCAGACAGACACTGGTCATTCATTGCATACTTGATCATAAGTATGCAATGAATGACCATGTCTTACAAATTAAGATTCATTTCAGCAGGATTCTTGTCTTTCACAGCCCTTACCCATCTCCTAATTGTACTGAGAATAATGCATGCATCTTCATACATGACACTCAAGTGTCAATGGATGTCAGTCTGAATCAACAAGCTATTATCAAATTGCTTACTACAGAGAGTGTACTCTCTGTAGTAAGCGATTTGATAATAGCTTGTTGTTTTAATCATACATCCATGTAAGTTGCCATTTCAGATCGTCAATGTGCAAGCATGTAGTTGCTGGGAATTGCCACTAGATAGACCTGTGTACCAAGAATCAAGGTAAATCCAAACCACTTTTGACACAATTTGTCCCATCATAAAAGTTATGAGAGTGGAGACACAAGGAGATACTTTTTGATACAGACACATAATATTAAAGTAAAGTTGCTACTAGCATTACCATCAGGCATGAAAAAAATATATTTGCATTTAGCAGTTTGAAAAAATATTCTACACATTCTGGAAGGAATTTTTTAAAAGCATTTTTGAGAAAATTTAAATTTATCACACTTATCAACCAGTGTAAATCAAATTGGTTTAAAATGAAAACAGCCTGTAATTGTAATTTTATTAAATTTCAAAAACTTATTTTTGTATATTATAATAAAAATTATATATTTTTTAGTTTGTGAACTGTTAGAAAAGGAAAAAAGAGAGCATGCATCGTTAAAACGTACTTGGCAAATGGCTAATGATCAATTTCTAGAAGCACAGAGGCTCCAGTTTATGGATATGCGGCGAATGCAGAGTGTTTTGACTGCTGAACAGCAGCGTCAAGTTGCTGAAATGCAACGTAAAGATGCAGAAATAATGGATCAGGAAAGAAGATTATCACGTTTACAAATTCCACATCAACTTGAATCTCAAGATAAACCAGAGCCTGGTAATAATTTTTAACTTGTAATGAAAAATAAATTTAATATAATTTTAATTTTATGATTATTACTTAAATTAAATATTAATCAACAAATATTTTAAATTAAGTAAATATGTTCATTTGTTGTGAAACCATGTTGTAATGTTTTCTTTAGAAGTGTTGAACACTAGATCGTGTTTTTAAAACAATTACATGGCTTATTCTCAACCTTTTATTTAGTCAACTAAATAAAAGTATCTAGTATTCAACACTTCTAAAAAAACATTTTTTTAAGTAAATATTTTAAACAAATTATGTAAAAATATATTATATATTTTCTAGGTACACCTTTATCTACGAAGTTCGCTCGAAGAACAATGTCACCTATGATGCATCGTCGATTTTGTTCTGCTGATAGCAAATCTGTAGATTTGTTAGATTCTTTAATATCAAATTCAAATGTAAGTCTATAAATAATTATATGTATTATTTATCAGTTGGTTACAAATATATACAGTACAGTATTCAAAAATATGTCACAAAGCTTCAGTATATGATTTATCAAGAAATCTAATAAAAAATAGAGAGATTTTTTTTATTGTGAATGATAATTTTCAAATGTGGCTAGGGCTAAATAATATAAATATGGATAATATAATATAAATAAGAAATATGGAAAACATATTTCTTTGTGTAGCACTAACAACATTTTATGGATGTTTAATTATATTATTTGAAGAAATTGATGAACTTTATTCAAATTTAAATTAATATTAGTATATATTAAATTTCATTTTTAGAATCTAACTTTATTTCAGTTAAATATAGAGTTAATTGTCACATAAACTTGTTTGAACATCAATTATATAAATTACTGAAACAAGACAAACAATACAGTGCTCTTATAAGTGCATGTCCACACATTTGCTATTTACCTTTCATCAAACTATTTGTCAAACTTTTATCACATAGTGAGCACAAATGTACACACATTTGATTATTTGTCAGCAAGCATCAGTTCATTGCTGGAACAATAAATGTTCATCAAAGATCTAGAAAGTGGACAATTCTCAAACAATAAATTGTGCCACTTCAATGAGTAGTTCATATCTGTTAATGAAAAAAGCCTAAAAGAAACTAAAGCAGAAAAATGTGAATGTAAAAACAATAAAGAAATTTTTTGAAAAAATAACACACTAAAACTGTATTGCAAAAAAAGGTTAGAAAAAACTACATAGAAAAAAATAAATATATTAACTATAAACTAAATTCAAAAATAAAAGATTAGATCTAGTTTTAAAAAGAATAAAATAGCAATACTGATGACAAAAACAACAAAATACATGAGTGTGTGTGGAAGATTGACACAAATGTACAGAAGCAAATATTCATCTCCTTTGATTCTGCACAATTTACCAACAAGAATTAGTAAATGGCAAACACTGAACATTTATTGCAAGTAAACCATTCATGCTACTCAGTATTCACCAAATGTTTGCTTGAGATTCAGTGAAGGGTAAATGTGTGGACACATTCTAAGCCAAAACAAACTGGCACACATAAGAGCATGTTCTTATAAGTGAAGGACGTGTGTTTCAAAAATGAAAACAAGTAATTTTCATAAATCCTGAACTGCACATTGGGGTATATATAACAAAAAATGGACTCACACGAACATTTAACTGGTGCGTAATAAGTAAAATATAATAAATCCAAACATTTTCAGAACCCCTTTCAGGTTCTTTGTCAGGTAAATTAGCTGGATAAAAAGAATAACGAATATGAGAATTTTTGAACAAAATCAAACAATGTAAATTTCAAATGTCCAGTTCCTTTGCATATCAGTTCATGTGACATGTTTAAAAATGTTCTAACTTAGCCATCAATGTCCAAAACAGTTGTCAATAACAAGTCAAAAATATTATAACCATAACATAAGGGTACGTGTTCTCACATTTTCTTTGAAATTAAGAATATAATGTTAAGTTTGTAGTAAAGTCTGCCAGGCCATTGAAAGACCAATCTCGTCCTTCGAATTAACGCAGGAGGATTGTTGTATGCTTTAAAAATCTCCATTGCTTCCAACCATTTGAGGTGCTCAAGATGTGGAGTGGTGACTATTACTTTTGCTCCTGAGAAGTCTGCCACAATTTCAGGATCCGTGGCATATGTGGAGAGTGAGGTTTTCATTTAACATCTTTTAATCTGACTCCCATTGAACGTTTTGTTGATCCTATGTACACCATATTTCTATCAAATTGGTTGTCCATAATAGGAACCCTATAGATGCCTGTAATCTGTCGATGTTAGATGGGTTGCAACGGGAAAGACCCGTCTAACATCGACAGATTACTGGGTGGATATACAATACAATAGATGTACAACCTTGCTCTCCACATACGCCACTGATCTCGAAATTGTGGCAGACTTCACAGGAGCAAAATTAATAGTCACCACCACCCACACCTTGAGCATTTCAAATGGTTGGAAGCAATGGAGATTTTTAAAGCATACAACACATCCTCCTGCGTTAATTTGAAGGACGAGATTGGTCTTTCAATGGCCTGGCAAACTTTACTACAAACTTAACATTATATTCTTAATTTCAAAGAAAATGCAGGAACATATATCCTTATGTTATGGTTATTACATCTCATACATGTGTAAATTTATTTTTGTTGTGTGATTTTTGATTTGTTATTGACAACTGTTTTGGACATTGATGGCTAAGTTAGAACATTTTTAAACATGTCACATGAACTGATGCACAGAGGAACTGGACATTTGAAATTTACATATTTACATTGTTCGATTTTGTTCAAAAATTCTCATATTCGTTATTCTTTTTAGAAGATCCAGCGGATTTACTGAAAACATTTGGATTTATTACATTTTACTTATTATGCATCAGTTAAAGGTTCATGCGAGTCCTTTTTCTTTTCTTTTGGTTTTTTCTTTCTTTCTTTCTTTTTTTTTTTTTAAAGTAATTTTCATATAAGAACATGCTCTTATTTGTATATGAATCTTTCACGTTTTCATGTGGTTCAGTAAGGTAGCTGTCACAGTGTCAAAGTTATTTCTCATTTTTTGAATTTTTAAAAAATTAAATTATAATGGTGTAAAAATGTTCATTACTTTCTTGACAACTGTATTTTTTTTAAACTTAGTTATTTGACAATATGCACTGAAATCAATAACTGGTATGAAATAAAAATAAACAACAAAAAACTAATGTTTTCTAACTCCTTCCAAGTTGTTCTTCAGGTTTTCCAATGGTAAATAGAAGGAATGTTGAAAATCTGTTTTATTTTACCATTGGGAAACCTGAAGAAGAACTCAGAAGGAGTTAGAAAACATAGTTTTTTGTTGTTTATTTTTATTTCACATTGATTATTGGTTTCAGTGCATGTTATTAACTTTATCCTGGTGTGGTATGTAGTTATTTGCTTAAGTTTTTATTTAAAGAGTTTATTATTATTACACATTGCTTTATTCTTGTTATTACATACATTATAGAAATGTCAGAGTGCACCTGAAGGGTTAAGTGAAACAGGATTAGATATATTTCAAGCATCATCTAGAAGCAATACTTTGCATTTACCTACATCATGTACATACTGTAAAGAAGAAAATCTTTGGCGTTCTGTTTCTCTTAATGGACTTACAGAGAAAAGACTTGAACATAAAAGAAGTCAAGAAAGTGAGATAAGAGCTGAAACTCGTTCACTCTCTGGTTTGGAAGATGGATCATCTAGCCCATGGAGTCCAAAAAAATTACCTAGTCTAACACAGGATCAGCTTAAAGCTCTTTCTGGTTAGTTCAATGAAAATTTTTATCAAATTATTTCTGTACAGAGAAAAATATCTGACATTGTATATTTATAATATCTTCACAGATATTACACCAGAACTTGAAGCAAGAAAATCTCTTTTGGATAATGCAAGAGCAGAAATGGAATCTTTTTCACTAGTAGGGAAAAGATTAGTAAGTGAAAAAGAATGGCAGCTTTTAGAGGAAGAGGTGATGGAAGGTTCTAATAAAATAATATATTATTAAAAGTGAATTTAATCTTTTAACTGCATTATTTTGTTTTATTAATTTAATTACTTGAACCAAAATGATTAATGATTTTTAGAAATTTGTTTTTATTAATACATTTTTATCCGGTTTTAAACATGAATATAAAAATATTTTGACTTTTTTTTCTTTAGTGTATCACTAATCTTTAGATGTATCACTAATTTTATTTATTTTGACTTAAGTAAATTGCAACAGAAAAATGCAGTTTTTTTAACACAACATTGTTTTGGTATTAAAAGAACACAAAATATTTGTGTTTTTTTAAATTTAGTTATATCAAGGTTATTTTCACATGACTTAAAAAACAAATGTATAATGTAAAGATAAATGCATAGGCAATGGTTCATAGTTAAGCTACCTGTGAAATTTTAAGAATCTTATGAAAGTATTATATGATTGGGCAAAACTTTTCTTGACTTTAATGTTCTATAATTTTTACTCATAGTTATAAATTACTCCAGTTTTGATAGCCTAGAGAATCAATTCTGCCAGATCTTGCTAGAAATGATGCCTGAGGATATTGGTGGTCAGAATTGTGGAAAATCTTCCCAAATGCCATAAAAAGAGTTTGTCATAAATTTCCTTATTATCTTTTAACTGATAAGACCTTAAAACCATTATAAGATGGCTTAACAGTTAAAAATTAAAGACAAATTACTGAAAATGTCCATCTTAAATCACAAAAAAGTGTCGAGAATTCAAGGTGTCCAAGATCAGAGTATCATTTACATGTAAAAGTATTTGAATTTGTCTATGTGAAAGTCTTCAAAATATAGGGGTGTCCAAATTAGGTTTTATTATATTTTAATTCTGTCAATTCAGTTTAGTTTATCTATATTATTAATAATTTATTTTTTAGATAAAATTTTTGCTTCCAAAATTCTTTAGACGTAAATTTGAGAAAAATTAATTTTTCAAATATTGAAGTTTTGATATTCTCTTGTTAGTAGATCAAATTTTGATATAAACATATTAATTTGTTTTTTAATGATATAGATATTTTATTTGCATTTGATTCTTACTTTATGTTACATGAAACATTTTGTTTTTATTTAGTTCTAAATTTTTTACTTATCCACTAGTTTAGTTCTTTGATCCATAAATATTTTTTATTTATTTTGTCTGTATTTATAAAATGATGCGGTAGCTAAGAGCAATATTAAATTATCACAAAATAAAGTTCTGAATAAAGTTATCACATCATGTATTAAAACCATTGTATCTTACTGTGATGCACTTATTAAATGCTTTTGTTGGATTACATTTAAGAAAAAGGATGGCTTGAACAATGAGATGAAGATTAAATGAAACTAACATGACTGCAAGTTAGTCCACAAATAGCTCACTTTTCACCAAGGCACATTGAGTTGCCAGGCTACGGTTTACCAGTGAGCATAGTGACTATGCCATGTTGTGTTTCCTGATGACTCCTGATTTACTTTCCACACTCTTGATGGATGGCAAAAAGTTTGGAGACACCCAGGAGAGCTGTATGAAGAATGCAGTATTACTCCCAGAGTAGCCCATGGGCAGGCATAACATTGGGGGCATATACTGACCTGTGCATCATACATTAGGGGTGACTAATTGCAGATGTTACACATGAGATGTTCTCAGAGTATTTGATGCCATTTGCATCATATTCTGTTTCTGCACAATAATGCTAGACTTCGTGCTTTACACATTACACATTGAACAAAGTTGATACAGGTATACCTCGCCTTACATCAGTAATTGGTTCCAGGAGAGGCGACGTAAGTCGAATTTACTTGTCTCCGAATCTACTTGTCACTAGGCTAAACCATAAATTACTATTTCCGGTTCTGTATTTTATTTATTAATGCATTTTTAATAAAATATGGTTAATAAGGATCTATTTTAAGCTTACAAACAAATAAATTTTAGTTTTTAATATAGTACAGAAAAAAGTAATCTAAATTTACGAATGCATGTACTGTAAATACAGTACATACTTGTAAATGTATATATTTTAATACAATTTTATGTGCTTTAAACACTTTTCTAGTGATATTACGACTTCAATATTTGTGGGTAAAATGACTTAAACTTGATTTTTATTTTTCCATATACTTTTTGGACAAACGACGTATAATCGGGAACGAGGTAACTCGAAACGACGTAAGTCGAGGTATACCTGTATTAATGTTATCTCCTTGTCAGCATGAAGTCCTGACCTTAATCCCATGAAGTCCCTTCATCAAGCATGTATGGAACATGTGGGGACACAGCTTTAAAACCATTTAAAAACTGTCCTCTGACATTATAGAGCTTGAGAACTTCAAAAAAGTAGAACATCTCACAAGATATTGCAAATGAGATTAGATCAATGCCATGTGTCTCAATAAGGTGCAGAAGGAACAATGAGGCATAACAGGTTTTTAAACACATTTTTTCTAATTAATATGCCCTTAGTTGTCATGAAATAAAGCATCTTTTTCATCTTTCCCTTTTATTTTTTTCTATCACAATAAATTCTAGCTTCATACATTAAAATTAATAATATAATATGATCAAATAATTGAATATTAATTTAACTTGAGAGTTGGTGTCAAGTTTTACATATTTTTAGAGCAAATAACATTTCTTCTGTAAATGTATGAATGAATAATTCACTTGAATATTTTCTTAAACTTAATTGGATATACAGTGGGTGATTGGTTAATGAACAAATCGGATAACAAACACTTTTGCAAAAGATTTTTATGTTCAGATAATGAACACCTCACAGAACAAACACAAGAAGAAGCAACATAAAATAATGAATACTGATTGGTCTTCTCTTGTCTTCAGGCAACAATTCAAAACTTTTCGGAGTGTGAGAGATGTCGACATCAACGCTCAACCTGGTATATACTAATTGGATAGTATTCCCCTGAACTTTGAAACTCTTCCTTGTAATTCCAGTTTTTTTATTTTTCTGACAGAAACAATTCTTTTATAGTATTCATGAGACTGTTGGGCGAGCACTCATTAAGTTTTGTGTCAGTTTTTATTTTCGAAAAGTGAGAGTATAATAGCAAAGATAGAGAGTGGGCAGAAGATGTCTGATGTTGCTGGGCAGTATGGCTTGAACAGGTCTACAGTAGGCTGCAGTTCAATCTTATCTAAGAAAGACACAGTATAATCAAGAAGACTCAAGCAGCTAAAGAAGTAACAAAAATCACATCTGAGAAATAAAGAACATTGAAGAAGCTCATAATAGAACACCTGACGACATCTGAAACAGATCTGACGACAGAAGAATGCCAAAAACGCTTGAATGAAGGACACCAAGAGACTCGATGAGATATATATTCTTCTGAAAAAGAGGATTAATGCCAATATCTGCTATTAAACATCTTTTGAAGAAGTGGGAGGATGTCAGAACAATGCTCTTAGAATGGCATCCAAAGCAAGTTGAGGTTAATAGGCTTAGGGAACTCTACAATTACAATGCTATTAATTACTTCTGAAAAATCCTGAAGAAGAAAGAAAAGCAATTGACATTAGACAGATTCTTTAACTCTCACAAACAGAAAAAACATAACTAATAAAAATGCAAGACAGTGTATATATGTATTTTTATTATTACATATAACTAAAACGTAGTAAGAAAGTATATAATTTTTATTTTTGGAAGTCTCCAGAACAGATTAATCAGATTCCCATAAAAACCTATGGTAAACTGATAATCAGTTAATGAACAATTTTGATAGCGAACAAAGTCTTGAAATGGATTATGTTCATTAACCAATCACCCACTGTATAATAATTGATTTCTTGAGCAATTTGATTTTTTAAATTATTTAGAGAAAAACCAAATATTAAGAAATCACTATTGCATGCAAAATAAATTTTCAAAGTTATTTTGAATAAATTTACAATTAGAATATTATGCTGCCAAATTTTTATTTTATCTTGTAATTGTATACTTTCTATAATGTTATAATTCTTTATATTTGCTTGTTTAGTGATCAGTTATAAAAGTGATATATAATAGATATTAATTGTATGTATTAGTTTGACATATGATTAAATACAGTTTTACAGACAGATTTTTTTTAAACTGAAAGATAAATGTGTAATTTTAATATGAATAAGCATTAGAGTCAATATTGTAGATTAAATCTGAATAACTTTTTAACTGCTTATATGATGCCAAATATCATGAATAAGTCTGAATAGGAGTGTAGCACAGTCAATTTGCATTCATCTTTAAATGAAGTAATATAGCTTTTAAAGTATATTCATGCTAACTACAACAACTTTATTTATTTATTTGAAAAAAATAATACTTTTTATTTAAAGTTGTTATAATTAGCATGAATATATTTTAAAAGATAGATACTTATTTAAATATTAATGCAAATTGACTGTGCTAGATCCAGTTCAGATTTATTCATGATATTTGACATGACATAAGCAGTTAAAAGGTTATTCTGAATTAATTTCACATAATTTATGAATTTTATATGTGAATAGTATCAGATTTAATCTACAATATTGACTTTAATGCCTATTCATATTAAAATTACACATTTACCTTTCAGTTTTAAAAAAAATCTGTCTGTAAAACTATATTGAATTATATGTTAAATGAATGCATATATATTGTACAATACAATTTTAAATAAAAATGGCTTTTATAGTGTATTTTAAAATTTATTAATAGGTGAGAAGAGCTAGAGAAAAATTGGGGCAGCCATGTCAAATGTGTAGCAATTATGAATTACAATTACAGCAACTACAAAGAGCAGAACAAGAACAGAAAAGAAAAATGTCTACTCTACAGCAAGTACAAGAAAGGTATAAAGAAGAATTGACAAAACAACAGACATATTGTCAAGAAATGGAACAAAAATTTAATGACATGGCACAGGATTCACGCAATCAGGTTTAGTATTGAAGTTAAAAAATTGTCATTCAAAATTTTTATATTGTTAGTTTAACTTTTTCCTGGGTAATTAATAATAACTTTGTTTTTGATGATGATTGTGTAAATCTATATTTATTATAATTAATAAGTAACTATTATTGTTACTTAAGTATAAATTAACACCACAAAACACATTCTTAAACTAATTAAAATATAACAAGTTATTAATAAGATGAATAAACTAAATACTTTAAAGGTTACAAAGATTTTTCATATATCTATATTATATATCATATATTATATATACCTTGTTACTAATTAAAGTTTATCGTTCAAAAATAGATATAAAAATTAAATAATTAATTGGTAATTACTCTATGTAGAATGTTTATGCTGTTTATGTTTATGCTTTCATGAAGAATATTTAATTAAAATTTTATAAAAATACAGTGTGTCTACAATGAAACAAACTAATTTTGAATGCTAACAATTCAGCAAATGAAATAATTTCAGTTAGCTTTTTCTGCAAAAATAGTGTCACTGCAGGAGAAGGTTCAGGTGGTTGTGTGGTTTGCAGAGTTTAAGTCCATTGTTGTGAGGTAAAAGAACTTTTTCCATGCTTATTAGAAAGCAGCACCAGTTGCCATAAAGCTTAGTACAAGAAATTTCAAGAGATTTGAAGCATAATGAAACAGCATGGAGCCAGTCAGAAATCTGTCTCTGAAGGTACAGTTGAGAGCATTTGTGTAGATTGTGCAGGAACTGCAGATTCCACATGCAACTGCACAAAATGGTTCTAACTTTATGTGCAGTTGCATATGGAATCTCCAGTTCCTAGGAAGATTTGTTGAATTGACTTCAGACAAATGACAAATTGCTTGGCAGATGTTCTCAACTGCAACTTCAGAGAGACATTTGTGGCTACCTTCGTGCTATTTCATCATACTTTCAATCTCCAGAAATTTTTTGTACACTGCTTTTATCCTCTTGGCATCTACTGCTTTCAGATAAGCATGGCAAAAAATTTTTTTCATCATAACAATGGACCTAAAACTTTGCAAACCACATGACAATCTGAATCTTCTCTCACTGTTACACCATTTTTGCAGAAAAAAGCTAATAGCATGTCTCCTGGTGATAAAAGTGTATTGTAAAAAACTTAGACAATACTTTTAACTCCTGCACAACAACAAATACATCATTAGTTTGAAATTATTTAATTTGTTAAATTGTTTATAAGCATTCAAATAGGATGTTTCATTGTAGACATCCTGTATTAATAATTAATAATAGTCAGTTTTTATTAGTAAGATAAGGGATTATACAGTCTTTTAAAAGGGAACTTAATAATAATTACTAGCAGTTATAAAAAAATTATACAATTCATAAACAAAATTAACATTATAAAATGCAAAAGTCCCTGAAATTCATTTTTCTGTAATTACTAAACATAAAATCTATACAGTAGACACCCCTATAATGCGGGTTCCTATAATGGAGATTCCTATAATGTGGCAAAAAAATTGCAACAGTATTTGTATAAAGATGCTAAAAGGGACTCGTCAAATGTCGTCGCTGACTTGTGTCGCGACAGGATTGGTCAAATCTGGACCAATAGTAGACGAGTAGACGAACTACTTACACGCTACAGAGAGTTTAGGCAAGTAAGTTGAGTTTACTATCATCTGTACAGTATTATATATAAATTAGGTACTGTATATATAATTATATATTAACTTAATTTATTTTAACTTTATTATAATTATATATATACTTTCCGCCAAACAGCGCCATGCTACGGAGAGTTTAGGCGAGTAAGTTGAGTTTACTATCATCTGTACAGTATGTAAATTAGGTACCGTAAGTCTAATACAGTACTGTAATTTTATACATTTCTTGTGAAAGAAACATTTCTTATTCAACGGCCATAAAAATTATTTATATTAATGATGTCTCCAAAGTTCAACGAAGTTTTCGCAGAAAAATAACATAAGAAATCGTGGCTGCGGTTTGGTGTGTTGCTCCGCGATGAAAACAAGCTTGAGCAATGCCGATGTCGAACGGTGCACACTCAGTAAGTAATCCTACAATTTTTTGTTTATAGCATAGTTTATACAAATTATTCCCAAAAAATTATGCATGTTTTGGAAATGTCGAGTCGAATTAGTCTAGAATCGATTAATTTTATGGAAGAAAACCTTTCAAACAGCCATAGTCCGTAAACTTCACACGTGTCGGGCTGCGATTGGCTCATGTATTTAACCGCTTCTTGTCCACTTTTTTAAAAAAAAATTTTTAAGCATAAAAAATACTTAAAGCTGAAAAAACGAAAGAAATGCGTTAATTTTGGATAAAAAGCTTCATCATTTAGTTTCCTTTGTCTCACCTTTCTGTGAAATTTAACACCATTGAGTCATTGTTTACACATCTGGATGACCTTGAGAACAGCTGGTGTCGTATTTCCCGGGACATTCTCATAGACGTCTCAGGAGGAGAAGGGTTTGAAGTAGGGTGACTAGAAACTAAACCTATATTTTTAAAAAATTATAATTTTTCTTGCAATTTCCGAACCCCTAATTAATTAAACATATATATAATAAAATCTATTAATTAAAAAAATTAAAAAACTATCGGAGGTCGTTTTTGATATCAGAAAGCAGCTTTAAATAACTTTACCGAAGGAATATTGGTGCACTACAACTTTAGAACGATTAATTAATTTTGATAAAAAATTCCCATTAAAAAAACATTAAAAAGCAATTAAGCCTTAATCGAGCCTTATCAAAGGCTCATTAAAATTGTGAAAAAATTTTTTCATGCGGGCAAAAAATTTTGAAAAAATTTGGGGACCTAAAAACATTCCAAAAATCAAAAAAAAAATTTGGGGGGGCCCAAACGCCCGGTTTTTTTAACGCTGTAAACCTTGCTCGAGTCAGACTCGAGCGTGGGTAGGAAGGAATTAAGGATTCCTACAGCATGAAATTCTTATAAAGTGGAACATATCTACCACGTTATAGGGGGGTCTACTGTCCATTACTTCTTAATTCACTAATTACCTTGCAAACTTTTATTATATGATACAAGTTAAAATCTTTACATTTATGCCAGTTACATGAAGAATTGTAAAATTTAAAATAAAATTATCCTAATAAATAAATAAATTGTTGTTTAATCTGAGTTGAGCAAAAATTCTTTTCACTATCAAACGTAGTCTGACTTTGACCTCTTTTACCATGAGAATGTTGTAAGTGTTCTGGATTTAATTCAATACTAGCAGTTAACAATAAAAACTAAACAATTATAGCATGATGCAAAACTAAATATCAATCAACAAATATTTTTTATTAAATATTAAATTAAATATTTTGTATTAAGGCTAAGCCTTGTTACAGGGGGTATTTTTTCAATAACATATTATTATATATTTGTTATTTAACAATCATTCAATATACATCATCTTCAAGATCAATATTGACATTACAATAAACTTTTAGTAGTAAATTTTTTTCATTAGATTTCTTTTAAATATTTTACTTTAAGTAACATAAAATTAAAATATTGTTTTACTAATTATTAATTTATCACATATTGTTTAGTTCTTTGGTGATTTGATTAAAAAAACCATTAATTTTATACATTTGATTTAATGTAAGATTGTTTAATTTAGTTCTAAAGTCTTGATTTTGTTTTGTATATATTAGTTCTTTAATTTCAAATTTTTGATATTTCTTTAGTCCTTCACAGTCTCTTAGTAAATGGTTCAAAGAACAGTCACTTGAATTACACCAATAACATCTGTCTTTAGTAAAATCAAAATAAGTATTATTGATAAACAATGAATATTTATTAAGTCTTAATTGGATTAATAATCTTTTTATATTCATACTGATATTAGCAGTTATGATATTTGAAGTAGATGGGATATTTAAAATGTTGATGTACCATGGATGGTATACAGAATGATATAATAAGTTTTGATCCATTATTATTGATTGAGAAAATGCTGATTCAATCATTAGAGAATATCCATATTGCCAAATTGTTTCTAAATTATCAAATAATCTGTTTGATACACCAAAAGATTGTAATAATTTATTAAATTTATATTGCCAGAGATTTTTGCTTTTCTCTGAGTTATTATTTTGATTTAGCATTATTTGATGTAAGAATCTTATGTTATCTTTGTTAGAATTTTTTAATCTATAATAGAATTTAATCAGTCTCTTTAAATAAAATGGATATAGTTGGAATATATTAGTCTCGGTTCAAATTGCATAACCAGGAACAGAGATTTTTGCTTTTCTCTGAGTTATTATTTTGATTTAACATTATTTGATGTAAGAATCTTATGTTATCTTTGTTAGAATTTTTTAATCTATAATAGAATTTAATCAATCTCTTTAAATAAAATGGATATAGTTGGAATATATTAGTCTCGGTTCAAATTGCATAACCAGGACCACTTCTTTCTTTTTTATATAATTTTCATAAGTAAGTAATAAAGAATTTTTCTAAATCGTATAATAAGTCTATTGTCCAAATAGGGCTTGCATAATATATTGAAGGAATAATCAGAAGGTTAAATAGTTTCATCTGTAGTTTTATATTTGTAATTTTTAAATTTGTGCATAAATAAATAACATTATCTATTAAAGTATTTATTTTTGTAGTTAGATTCTTCAAGTGTGGTTGAAAATTCCAATTGAATGGTATTCCTAAATATTTTATTTCATTTACTAAGGTGAGAGATTGATTGTTTAAATAGAATAATTTTTCTTGTTTTGGAAGTTTAACATTATTTCTAAATATGATTATTTTGGATTGATCATTAAAAACAGGGAATTCAGATAGTTGTTTATTATATTTAATTTGTGTTGCAAGGCGATTTTTGTTGGTGCAAGTAATACAAGATCATCTGCATATAATATATAGTGGTAAATTCTTCCAGAAATTTGAACTCCTTCAGTATCAAGTAGAAATGATTTATCAATATCATTTAAATAAAAATTAAACAAATATGGCGGAAGCGGTTCTCCTTGTAGTATTCCTCGATTTATGTTTAATTCTGGGAATATCTGGTTACCGTGACTAATGTTGATTCTGTAGAATGAAAATAATTTCACAATTGAATCTGAGAATTTTTTTATGCATAGATCATAGAATACACATACTGTAGATCAGACAGCAATTCAGAACATATCGTCTATTACTGAACTTCCAATATTAGCAACACAAGTGAATTCACATGGATAGTCATTTTTTATTCTTCCATTTAAAATTATTAATTTCAATTGTTCAGTATTTTTTATTAATTGAAGACCCAATCTATTATGTCCAAATAATCTAATTCACAGTTAAAGTGTATTAGATTATTTGGACTTTTATATCCTGAATCTATTTTCTGTGCAATTCTGGAGTTAAAATCATCAAATAACAATACATATGAAGAGATATTTTTCCATTTTTTGAGATTTTTTAATATTTAATAAATCTATCTGATCAGGTGGAACATAAACTAATATTATGATAATTAATATTTTGTATAAACATTTCATTTCGGTATTATTAATTTGCAATAAGATTAGAATATAATTAGTTGCTTTTTGTATAAATTTTACAGAACCAATGTTTTTTCTTAATATTAGACAAAGTCCTCCATGTGGTCTCCCAGGTCCTATTGGTTTCTGTGCGTCAGTAGATATAATTGTATACAGGCATACCTCGACTTACGTCGTTCCCGATTATACGTCGTTTGTCAAAAAAGTATATGGAAAAATAAAAATCAAGTTTAAGTCATTTTATTCGACTTTACGTATGTCCGCCACAAATATTGAAGTCGTAATATCACTAGAAAAACGTTTAAAGCACATAAAATCATATTAAAATATATACAAGTATGTACTGTATTTACAGTACATGCATTCGTAAATTTAGATTACTTTTTTTTGTACTATATTAAAAACTAAAATTTATTTGTTTGTAAGCTTAAAATAGATTTTTATTAACCATATATTATTAAAAATGCATTAATAAATAAAATACAGAACCGGGAATGGTAATTTACGGTTTAGCCTAGTGATAAGTAGATTCGGAGACAAGTAAATTCGACTTACGTCGTTCTCCTGGAACCAATTACCGACGTAAGGCTAGGTATACCTGTATTCCACTCTATTTTTGATAATTTCATTAACTGGCGTGACTAGCCAGGTTTCAGTTATACCCAAGATATCAGTATTATATAGTAATTGAGAGAAATCTTGAGTTTTTATTTTGTGGATTAAGCCTTGGCAGTTCCAGTTCATGATATTTAAGTTAAGATTGTTTGAAATTTTAATACATTGATTATTTTCACATTCTAATTCTGAATTAATTGTTATTGGGTTTTTCTGTAGCAAATCCAAAAAATGTCATCAGCGTATACTAATTGATCCTGAATATAACTATATGTGATTTTTTGACGATTAATTATTAGATAGTTATCACTCAGTTTTAGTTGTAATCCTTGTTTCTTAAAATCTGTGTAATATTGTAAAAGTTTTTTTCTTCTTTTGCGAGAATCTTTATTTAAATCAGCTGACATATTAATATCTTGCCAATTTTCCAGTGTCTTGTTATATTTTGATTTATTAAAGGCTGCAAGGATTCTGTTTCTTAATAGATTTGATTTTAATACTATGCACTTCATTTGAATATTTGAATTAGGTATTGAGTAGATATTTTCTATAATCTTCTGATTCGCTGCAAACTATTTTTAAAGTATTAGAAAAAAATGTTACTAATTCATTTTTAGTAATATTTTTAAGCTGATTTGTATAATCATAAATTATAATTTTATTATTATTCATAGTGTTAGTCATAGTATCCAGTTTATATTGAGTTAATTCATTTTCTAGTCTTAGTTTGGTAAATTCAGTTTCTATTTTATCATTTCTCATCCTTATTTGTTGAATTTTATCTTTAAATTCTTTAATTTCATTTTGAATTATATTAATTTCTTGTCTTATAAGTGAAAATTGACTCACCAGCTTATCATTGCTAATGGTTATCAATTCAACTATCTTATTCCATAATTCTGCTGTTGAAATGTTTATTTGTTCTGCAGGTAATTGTTCTTGTGAGGAAGTTAAATTAATTACCTGTTTGGAATGATGATTCGGCTCTACTAGGTTCAGTATATTCAGTGATAAGGTTTGATTTCAGTCCAATGGTTTGATACTATTAGTCAGCAATTTTTGACGAGTAAGTGGTGGTCTTCCTCTCTTTGTTGGAGTTTTCTGTAAGGGACCGGGATTTGGTTCTATTCCAGCAATCAATAACAATAAAATAAGAAGCTTAATATTATTCCTTTTTGTTGAAAATAATTCAAAACTCTTCATTTCTTGAAAAATTAGACAAAGTATGGAAGTGGAGAAAAATTCACGCCAACAGCTATGACGATCAGAGTGCCCCCCTCAAAACTAAATATTATTTTTCTAAAATAAAGCAATAATTCTAAAAAAAAAAAATTATTTGTAATCTATGCTACATTTTCAATAAATAGTTTGTTTTAATAAAAATATTCAAACAATAGTTACAATGCTGATCATGATTATGATGTTAAAATCATATGGTTTGATGAAATTTATGCAGTTATATAACTTATATATACATTTACTATAATGCATTAATAATAATATATATTATGAAGAGATGTTTCAAATTATTAATTTCAATTGTTCAGTATTTTTTATTAATTGAAGACCCAATCTATTATGTCCAAATAATCTAATTCACAGTTAAAGTGTATTAGATTATTTGGACTTTTATATCCTGAATCTATTTTCTGTGCAATTCTGGAGTTAAAATCATCAAATAACAATACATATGAAGAGATATTTTTCCATTTTTTGAGATTTTTTAATATTTAATAAATCTATCTGATCAGGTGGAACATAAACTAATATTATGATAATTAATATTTTGTATAAACATTTCATTTCGGTATTATTAATTTGCAATAAGATTAGAATATAATTAGTTGCTTTTTGTATAAATTTTACAGAACCAATGTTTTTTCTTAATATTAGACAAAGTCCTCCATGTGGTCTCCCAGGTCCTATTGGTTTCTGTGCGTCAGTAGATATAATTGTATACAGGCATACCTCGACTTACGTCGTTCCCGATTATANCAAGAGTTGCATGGCACTCAAACAAAAGACGAATCGACGAAATTTGAAAATTGCGTAACTCCGGGTTCGCGTAAGTTGGGATAGCGTAAGTCGAAGTATTACTGTACTGTACTGTAATATTACTGTACAGTAATACCTCGACTTACGCGAACCTGGAGTTACGCGATTTTCAAATTTCGTCGATTCGTATTTTGTTTGAGTGCCGTGCAACTCTTGATTACTCACCCCCACACTATTGTACAGTAATATTACTGTACTGTACAGTAATACCTCGACTTACGCGAACCCGGAGTTATGCGATTTTCAAATTTCGTCGATTCATCTTTTGTTTGAGTGCCATGCAACTCTTGATTACTCACCCCCCCCCCACACTATTGTTCAGCTTACATGTTCGGTCGTGTGGCACGGAATCAACACATAGCTACAATTTATTTTGTGTTATTTATTTCTGTGTTTGTTATATATATGGAGACTTGAGAGACTTCATGTGGTGATTTCTTGTAACCGTGAATGAATCAAAGACGAGATAAGATTAACGAGAACATTTATTAGCTTACTGTACATACATCCGACTTGGCTTTTACACAAATTGCGAAATTATACCCCAACTTACGCAAATTCGACTTACGTGGTTATCGCTCGGTCCTACCTATCGCGTAAGTTCAGGGTATTACTGTACTCCAGTTTAGAGGTTGTCCTATTGTTTAACTTGAGTTACCTTAAGGTCTTTCAAATAAGGCCAGAAATGTTTAAATTTTTTATTTTCTGGAACTTGAAAGTGTTAGTGTATTGATTAAACTATTAATACTATTCCAGTTTGTTCTTTTAATTTCGGAGTTTTACAAAAATAATTCTTAAGATAGAATTTTGAACTATAAAGATGTTAATACAAACAAAATTCCANTACAAACAGTTGGTAAGCTGATTTAAAAATTAAAGTTTTGTTATGAATTTTTATATTAATTTTTATAAAATTTTACACAAGAATAACAATTAAATGTTATTACAATATTTCAGAGACAGTTAATACAACACAGAGAAGAAATGAAAACAGAAGTAAATTATTTAATTCTCTTTAATGAATTTATCTTATTAATAAACTTTGTATATTTTTTCCTTATATTTAATTTATATTTTAATTGTTATTAGTTAACTAAACTTCAGGAAGAAAATAACAGTTTATTAGGAAAACATATTATGCAAGCTCAACAAATGCAAAGTGAAATTATAAATTTTCCTGATAATCCTGAGGTTAGTTTTTCATATAAATATCTATTTAATTACAATTCTTATTGTAGACATAAAATTCATGTATAACTTAATAATAATTAAAGTGATAACTAAAAAAATTAATAAATAGCAATCAGAACTTAATGAAAAAATAATTCTTTACTTAAATTTGATGAATAGTATTGATTATATAGTGTCACAGACCCCAGTACACTGCTTTTAAAATGAAGGGAAATGAATTTTATCAAAATTCTAAAAATGTTGATAAGTAAATTGACACTCTAGCATGCCTAGCTAACTTATATTGGAAGTGATTAACTTTCATGAGTCAAAAGTACTGATGTCTACTCCACATTTTTATTTCATGAAAGCTTAATAATACCTTAATAAAATTCTTTTGCAAAACATAGCTGTATTTGTATACTGCACAGTAATTAACATTCCAGATTATCTCTATTTAGCAAAGATAATAAAGTATAAATTAACACCATCATTTATTTTTTACCACAATAAAAAATATGTTATTTCTTTCTGTTACAGAAATTAAAAGTTTTGCTTCTCTTTGGTGCATTAATTTTTCATTGAAGTGAGTTGCTTATGTGACAATAAAACAATTTCTAAAATAAATGCATAGCTGGCTAGCAATAACCATCAGCACAAATGACACTTCTTATCCATCTCATAGAACATAGCATTACCAACACACAGAGAGTAGTTTAAAAATTTTTGTAAAAATATAGATTTAATATTCCTGTTAAATTAAAATTGTTTATTGCATTTTAACAAGCCATATTGTCTGCAATCAACCAAAAATGATGCAGAAATTGACTGGTTGATCACTATCAACCTGTTGGCCATGCCTGCTCTTTAGAATGGTGATATTTTCAATTTCCAGCATTAGCCAGAAATGGTTATTCAGGCCAGAAGTCAAATGGTTTAAATGGAACATGGAATTTTTAAATTTAGATTTGGATTAATCTGTCCCATGATCTTCCCTGAAATATCTTGGATTGAAACATAATGACCGTGGCTGGTGGACCCAACATCTCATTTCTGCATTGGAACATTTTTGACGCTAGATGTTGCTAGTTGTTATAATTTTTATATTAAAACTAACTTCCAAAATATGATTATTTATGTTTTTTACATTTTTTAATATGTCTATTTTATCTGTGCAAATAAAAAAAATAATTTTGTACAATGCAATAGCCACGATTATTTTATCTAAAATGTGTAATTTTCATTAGGCTTAACATTGACAAAAATTTAATGTGAAGTGACATGCATTGGAGAAAAATTTCAACATGGAATAGGTTAAACTCAAAAACAAATAATTTTGTCTCAAACATTTTTTCTGAAAATGTCTCCATTGACTATAAATGACCATGAAAGTGTGATGGATGGAAAAAAATGATACTGTTAAAATAAAATATCATATGTTACAAAATATTTTTATCATCATACCATCAATGTAAGAAAAACAATAAAAATGTAATTGGTGCTGAATTAACAAAAATTGTTGTTGTTGTTATATAGTGTTTTTATTTATGTAAATTCTTTCTGTCATAACATTGGTACCACTTTTAACTGTTGTTTAATCAAAATGTTTAAAGTGAGCATCATGCTGCTTTTTCATTCATAATCAGATGATGGAATGCACACACAGTTGTTTGTATACATTATGATGTTATTGAATGACATCATCATTTCTGATTCAATTAGCCAAACATGAAAAACATTCTATGAGTAAGGAGTCCAATGAGGATATTGTGTATGCTGCAATCTATTTGCTGTTTGTTAATTATTAAATTGTTTTAAAATCTTTAAAATTACAAAATATTTAACTTGTATTACAACTAAATAATTGTAATATTGAAAAAAATTATTTTATATAATTGAAGAATACATAAATAATTGTTTAATTAGCATTTTTTCTCTTTCTAAATATATATTTTGATTGTTAAAAACATGTAATAAATATTTTATTTTACTACTAAGAATAATTGTAAAAAAATTAATAAAGAAATAATCTCTCTCTTTCTCCACAGAAATTTTATAAAAATAATTTTATTTTTCACAGTAAATTATATATATTTTATATATATAATATACATTGTTGTTATATATATACAGTAGAGCCTCGATTATACGACCCAATTGGGGACTGGGGTTGGTCGGATAATTGAAAAGTCGGATAACCGAAAAGTATGAAAAAATCCATTATTAGTGTAGTATATTATTATATCCCATGTAATTAGTATATTAGTATATCGCTATTAATCTACTTCGCGTTGAATTTTCATCGATGTTAAGCCTAACAAAAATTTTTTTAAATAATAATCGTCGCTATTGTATCGTTAAAAATTAGAAAATTAAGCCTTGTTTAAATACTGGCTCCCTTTCATGGTTGAATGAATGTTGCCAGCTAAAACACGTAAAAATAATATTAAAGTAGCCAAGACATAGCCAAATATTGTAGCGCCACATCACTAGCGGACATTTGAATTTGCTGACTAGAACATGGTTAACTGATGTGACGGTTGATCGGGGGTCGGATAATCGATGCTCTACAGTATTTAAATTTAAATTTACTGCATAATAAGAGCAATAGAAAAGAATGGTGAGTTTTATAAAGAAAACAAAAAATTTGTATTTTGTCTATTGTTCATTGTGTCTACTTTGTTGCTCAGTTAGCAGTAGCCCAGTTGTCCATTGCCACTTGTCATCATCCAGTTGACAGTGTCCTTTTTCCCCCTAGTCACTGCTCTTCATAGCAAGTAATGGTTATAATGAGGAAATATTGGCAGTTTCTTACTGGTTGTTACAACCAAGTTTGATTGTATTTAAATTTTTATCAGGTGAATATAACATTTAAAATAAAATTACTGAGACGGAATTTGAATTTGTCATCTAATATACATTTTAAAATTATGAAATAAAAGGTTTTACATAATTATGAACTAAAAATGTCATGTAATATATGAATTTTCATATGGAATGGTAATTGTAGAAATTTAAGATATTTTACAAGGGATTAACTTTATAATTAACTAGCTGTTACCCATGACTTTGCTCGTGCAGATTTTGAAGCAAATCCTATTTACATTCAATATTTCATCAACTATAGTAATTGTTATTTAACACCTACCACTGAGAACAATGAGAATTGCTGAGAATCAAACGAACTGCTTTTAATTTGATAAATTTTCTGGAATATTTACAATCATTCTATAATTGAACCAATATGCAAAAAGAAATTCAAATTTAAAACGGTTTGAACATTTGGTTAAAAAATCAAAATCTATAAAAATATTTATAACAATGTCTGAAATGTTATCAATTTAATACACCTAAGTACTCAATGAAGACTAAACGTAGTTAAAAACAAAAAATCACATCTAAAATAGTACAATAGAAGGCGTTCTTCAGGTTAAGACTTCATGCTCTCCCTCGCCCCCCTGTGATGGAATTTCAAAAAATCCCTTCTTAGTGTGTGTTTTCATGATGTACCCTAACTGTTTACCAAATTTCACTTCTAGGTTCTGGAACTTTCTAGAAAAAACTGGAACATTCTCATTGAAGTGTCACACATTTTTGAAGTCAACCACTTTCAAACCCCATATCTCTCGCACCCTTATAGCTATTGAGACGCAACCCCCCTGGTGCACAAATGGAGACTTGGGGCTACTACCACATACAAACACCATTCATGTGCGATGTGTAGTTTTGGCGGAAAAGTGAAATATAGGGACATACATGTCCATTTATATATATATATAA